TGGAAAGAAAAGATAAAAATATTCTCAGATAAACAAGACCTGAAAGAATTTGCCAGTAGCAGACCCACTCTTCAAGAAGTTCTGAAAGGAGTGCTCTACCAGAAAAACTAAAACACAAACAGAAATAAGCGAACAAAAGGGAACCAAGAAAATGACCAATTTAATGCTGGGGACAAGAAATATCATAATAACGTTGAATGTTAACTTCCAGAATTTAAACAGAAAGATTGGACCACAGTAACTGCATATTCAACAGAAGAGAGTTTGAACATAAAACTGAAATTGTGAAATAAAATTTTATGACTTTTGAGTAAAACATTACTGATTTCTTTTTTTTTTACTGTGCTTTTTCCCAATTTAAACATTTTACTTTATTTTGAGTTTTTGATAGGTTCAACAATTTGTTAAAGTATTTTTCTTGTTTGTTTCTTTAAATGGAAACATAAATTTTTCTTCCTTCCTGACCCCTCTTGAATTGGAAATATTTGGGACTATTCTTATTTTTGGGCAGAAGGGTTATTTGTATAAGTTCAATAATGCTTGTTGCATTGAATCAGAAATTGGAAATACTCATTATTGGACAGGGCTTTGATTGCAATGTCATACCTGAAGATTAACTCGTGTGCTGGGCATTTGCTTTTCAACAATTTGAGTAGTTGACATGTAAATATTTTCTCAAAAATATTTAACACCATATTGTATTCATTGTTATAGAGTCACAAACAAAATTATACAAAATTGTAAGAAGTATTTTGAGCATTATCTTTAAAATTCAGTAGTTTGAAATTTTGAAAGTTGTTTGTTAACTGCTAAGAACTATGGAGTATGAGCTAAAAAAAATTTTTGAGAGGTTTTTGCTATAGGGCGCGTGTGCTTGCCACACAGACAGAGAGAGAGAGAGAGACAGAAAGCACCAGGCATCCTCAAGGAGGGTGTCCTCATGCTGCAATCTCCTTTCCCCAGTCCCCATAATCCTCAGATCTTTAGTGAACCTCTGGCATATTTCTGGACTACTGGTAGACCATGGGGCTCCCAGCACTGCAAATCAGTACAGTTTATCACCTATGCCACCAAGTGGGCTTTTTAAAAAATTAATATTCTCCAGTGGTGGTTGTCAATTTTTTGACATTTAAAGTAACTGTTTGTGAAAAAATGTAAAAATAAATAAATAAATAAACGGGAAAAATTTTTAAAAGAAAAAAGAAAACCTAATGGAGAAAACTCTAGGAAACAGTAGTAGGCAAAGACTCTTTAAACAAGACCTCCAAAGCATGGACAATAATCCCTAAAATACACAAGTGGGATTTTATCAGATTAAAAAGCTTCAGCATGGCAAAAGAAACAATAAGTGGAGTGACAACTCTCAGAATGGGGGTCGCAAACTATTTTTGCAAACTCTCACTCAGATAAGGGACTGATAATCAAAATATACAGGGAACACAAACAGCTCACCTGAAAAAAAAAAAAGATCAACCCAATTAAAAGATGGACAAATGAGCTGAACAGGCAACTCCATAAGGAAGACATATGAGCAACCAAAAGTATATGAGAAAATGCTCACCATCCCTTATCATAAGGGAGATGTAAGTTGAAACCACAATGAGATACCATCTAACCCCAGTTAGAATGGCTAAGGTTAAAAAAACAAAAAATGGGGGCTGGCAGGTGGCATGGTGGTTAAAGGCGCTGGATTCCCATATGGCTGACCAACTGCTTTCTCAGTTTCTCTCTCTCTCTCTCTCTCTCTCTGTTTGGTCAAATTAAAAATAATAACAACAAATGGAATTAAATAAATAATTATCTTTTTTTAAAAAAGTGCTGGAAAGGCTGTAGTGAAAAGGGAACTCTCAGGGCGTGGTGGCGCCCGCCCTATGGAAAAGGGAACTCTCCTACACTGTTGGTGGGAATGTAAATTAGTACAGTCACTGTGGAGAACAATATGGAGGTTCCTCAAAGACCTGCAAATAGAACTACCATATAATCCAGGAATTCTACTCCTGAGTATCTAACCAAAGGATAGGAAAATGCTCAGTCAGAAAAAATTCTTGCACATCCTTGTTTATTGCAGCATTATTCACAATTGCTAAGACAAAGAACTAATCCAAATGGGCATGATCAGATGAATGTATTGAAAAAATGTGGCATATATACACTATGGAATGCTACTGAGCCATAAAAAAATGAGGCCTTCACATTCGATAGAAATATGGAACAAATATGGACAAATATGGACGATTTACTGCTTAACCAAGCAAGTCAGACTATGAAAGAGCAGCATTGTATGTCCCCATTCAATATATACAGAATGTTGGCACTCTATAGCAGAAACTGAAAGGTTGAAAGACATAAAAGCATAGAGAGCATTTTTGATACTGGAGACAGTATGGGAGGAGTGTAGGAAATGGGGGAGGGTAAGAGAAAGGAAATCCAAGGGAAGTAAAGGGAAGCAAAACATTTAAGGGACCTAAGGTGGAAAGAAATCTGTTGATAGTAAAGTGTATGGTGGTGGCTTTGACTGAATCAATAAACAGTGCATTCGTGGTGGAAAAATTCACTTGATATACTGTAATGATACACACTGATTGAATGTATAAATAAATACATAAATAGAAAAATTCCCTCCAGGGACTCTTGGTGACTTTGTATTCAAACATGATGGCCTGTTCTCATGTACATCTTAAAACAGACAGCAAAATTACACCAACAATTACTTAGAAACTCAGTGGCCATTATGTGGATCATTCAAACTCTCCAAGCTTGTTTTTCTCAAAACTAAACTGGGAGACTATGACTATGAAGTTAAACAGTCTGAATGGGATATACACTTCAATTGGTATCTTAAGGTATCAAAGCATATTTAAAACTCAAAAAAATTGCCTTCATCTTGTGAAGTTAGCAGATTAAAATAAACAAGAGGATAAAAAAGTCTTAGTGACTCAGATTTCTACTTCAAAGTTTCTCTCTCTCCCCTTCCTACAACTTCTTCTCTGATTCTTTTTTTTTTTTTTTTTTTTTGGAGAGGTTTTCGCTATAGGGCACGTGCGCTCGCCAGACAGAGAGAGACATAGAGACAGAAAGCGAGAAATCACCCCCCGGGGGGATGATCACGCCGCAATCCCTTCTCCTCCATTCTCCTCTCGGGATCTTGGGCACGCACACACACGTGCCCAGCATGAGTTTTAAGCCACCGGGTCCGGGATGTGAACCACAGTCGACTACGTGGGAGTCCAGCGACATAGCCATTACACTAACTGCTGGTTCCCTTCTCTGATTCTTTATCCTTCTCTAGCTGAACCTTCCTTTCTTCCCAGATCCCTCAGCCCCTACCACCCCCTCATTGGAATCTATTAAAACTCATCCCCTTGGGGCTACCAGGTGGTATGGTGGTTAAAGTGCTGGCTTAATGCAGTTCAAATCCCGGACCAGGCAGCTTGAAAATCACAACAAATAAATAGCTAAATAAAGAAATATCCAAACAAACAACAAAAATCTCCTTAACATAAAACCTGTGGGCAACCCCATAGCATGGTGGTTAATGAGGTTGGATAAAACATGGCTGTGTAGTTAGAGTCCCAGACCTGGAGGCTTGAGAAACACTGGGTGTATGTGTGTGCATGTCCAAAATCATGAAAGGAGGGAGAGATGTAGGAGAAGGTATTGGGGCATAACCACCTTTCATGGAGGGTACTTTCTCACTTTCTTTCTTTCTCTCTCTGTCCATCTTTCCAATAAACACATGCACCATCTGGCCAAAAAAAAATTTTTTTAATTTACAATAAAACCCAGTGATGACAAAGATAAACCCAAGTCTCCTATGTTCCTTGGTCTAAGGCTGAACTCTGAGCCATTGACAAGAAATTTCCAACAATCACTCAAGACTCCCACCTACTTACTGATGAATTGAACATAGTAATCCAGGTTTATCAGTCCACTTTCTTTGATCTGTCGCAGTTGGTTCAAGTGTTTGTTGGTTGAAGCTGAATGAACTCACCTCGAGTGAGACTCAGAGAAATAGACATCCCAGTATTGGGAAGAGTCTCAGAATTTAGAAAGGCACCTTCATAAGACCACAGCCTTCACAAAAGTTCTAGATTGAAACCAGGTTCAAGCTTGTGTCCAATAACCTAACGAACCAGTTCATAATAATAGCCAACTCCAGGTCATTTTTAGGGTACATTTCAGACTTCCCATGAAGTCAATTAAGTCAATTAAGGGCTACTCAAATAGCCCTTAATTCTGACTGTGAATGGCCTCTTTCCAGAACTTTTCCAACTTGTTAACAGAATCCACATGTAATAGGAAATTATGCTTAATCTAGATCTATTAAATTTGCTAATCACCTGGCCCATACTCTAGAGGATAATCATAGAAAGAAAACTCAAAATCCTCAGTCTCCAACTTCAACAAATGGGGGCTCCCAAACAAAATTCTACTAGCTTCTGCCATTGTTACAGAAAACCTGGATACTGGAAAAGATTTCTGCCATGCAGTAGTCTCCCAACCTTCCTGGCACCAGGGACCAGCCTTGTGGAAGACTATCTCTCCATAGATGGAGGTGGGATGGAGGTAAGTTGGGGAGGTTGGTCCTGGGATAACCCAAGTGCAACACATCCACCATGAACCCCATTCCCACCACTACTACATTGCAATATACAATGAAACAATCACACAACAACAGGGTTCATGAAACCATGAAAATATAATATAGCCACTGATCAAACAGGAGGCAGAGTCTGACAGCAATGTGAGCAATGGGCAATGGCTGCAAACACAAACAAAGCTCGTGTGCCCACCACCCACGCTTTACTGTGAGGCCCCGAAGATTGGCACCGTTGGCAGCCCAGCCCCTAACAAGGTTGGAGACCACTGCTATAAGGCACAGAAAACCAAACAGCCTCTCCCTCAGAACCCTTACGAGAAATATTCCCAGTGACAGGGCTCCACAGAATTACAAGGGCTGATCATCCTTTTCTCCCACCCCACCTCTTCCTTTCTCTGACCTGGCTGGAGAAAGAGCTGATGAGTGCAAAAGACTGATAAAACAGGTCCAGTATCCGCAGGAACTCAGGGTCTTTATAGTCAAAACGTTTTCCAAAAACTATGGAGCAGATGATGTTTGCGGTGATGGACTGGAAGTAGAAGGTGGTGTCCAGGAGGGCTCCTAGGAGGAAAAGGAGGAGTCACAGGATACAGATTCAAGCTTCAAGGGAACATTTGACTGCCACCCCATCTCTGTATGACTGTCTGCCATCGCTCAATAATAGCAAAGATAAGAATAACAGTAACAGCTCACTCCCTAGCATGTTTTATGTGCCAAAGCACTTCACATATATTTTTTTCATCACCACATTGGGAGAAAATGCAATTCTATTATTATTCCCATTTTCTAGATAAGCAGACAGAGAGAAGTTAAGTAATTTGACCGAAGTTGCATAGCTATTCATGACTGGGGCCAGGATTCAGACCAGGCAGCCCAACTGCAGTGTCTACACAGTTGATCCTTACTCTGCATCTTCTCTTGGCCCCCAGCCCTGACTCTGTGAACTTGTAGACTTAAGTCCAGGGCCGGAGTGGAGAAGTAGTGTAAATTAAAAAGCCCTGATCTATCTGTCACACCCCCTTAACCTTCTCTCTATATCTCTGTTCTTCTATTCTGCACTTGTAGCTGATGCCTAGAGACACCAGACTCAGCATTTGCTCCAGTTGGAGGGGGGTGACTGAACGTCCAAGAACATCAGGTCCATGCAGCCTCTCTCTGTGTCTCACCTGTCTTGTCTCTTCTGGTTCCTCTGTAGTCCTTTTCCCGAGCTTTGTCTATCTCTGTCTCCAATGTCCTCTGTCCCAGTTTCCCAGTTTCTCTCTGAATCTCTGAGTATATTTCTTTCTTTCTTTCTTTCTTTCTTTCTTTCTTTCTTTCTTTCTTTCTTTTTTTTGAGAGCTTTGCTGTGGGGTGCATGCACTCACTGGAGAGACAGAGAGGCAGAAAGCAAGAAGCAACCCCCTTCCCCCAGGGGGATGGCCATGCTGCAATCCTATCTCCTCCATTCTCCTCTCAGGATTTTGGGCACATACTCATATGTGCCTGGCGTGAGTCTCAAACCTCCAGGTCTGGGACTTGAACCACGGTTTACCATGCTAGCCCCAATTATCTTTCTCTTTATTTTGATCTCTCGTTTCTGTCTCTTTCTCCTTTCCTGTCTCTCCATCACCGTTTCCTCCTGTCTTTCTTCTCAGCCTCTTTCTCTATTTCCCCATTGCTTCCTGTATCTCTGCCTCTCCCTCCAGTTTCTACATTTATGTCTTAGAACCTCCTGAGAAATTCTGGTAAGAGAGATGATGATGACCTGGCATAAATGCAATAGAGACACCAACGAAGGACCTTGTTGGTGTCTCTATGTGTCCCACGAACACTCCGTGATGGAATCTAAAAACAGCTGAAAGTGCTTCTTGGATAGCTCCTCAGGGTACCTGAGAGCAGAACAACTCACCTGGCCTCTTCGCTCACTGCCAGCTTACCAATACTTTACCCAAGGAAAGGAAAGCACAGTTCACTATTTTCCAAATGTCTGCCATTTTTTTTTCCTCTGTTTTGTTTTATGTATGTCTTGTTTTCTTCCTTGATAGATACAATTAATTTATGAGTTGGTTTCCCTGAGCATAAGTAGTGTGCTATTCACTAACTATACTCTGAGTTATTCATGGCTGCTATCCACCTTGCATCTCTCTCTTTGCAGTTTCTTCCGTCCTGGTCTCAGTCTCTCTCTAATCCTCTCCTTCTCCCTCTCCCTTTGTCTGAGGGCCTCCCAGGCTCTGTCTCTGTCTCCGCTCCTTTCTCTGCCCAGTCTGTCTGTCTCTCTCCCCTTCTGTCTTTAATTGCCCTGCATCTCTCTGACTCGCTTCCCTTTCTGTCTGTCCCCTGGGGCTCACCCTTGGACTTCCGCAGCTCCTCCACCAGACATTGCGCTTCCTCCTGGATCCGCTCCTCCACACTCCGCTTTCCCATCCCGAAGTCCCTCATGGTAGCAAGAGAGAATCGCCGAAGGGCCTTCCAACGATCTCCGTTGGCAAAGACCACACCTTGGTTGCAGAAGGGAGTATGAATCGCACAAGAAGTTGGAAGGAGGTTAATGGGTTCCTCTCTGTCCACCCTCTCCATCCCTATCCTCCCTCCCCAGACCCATCATTCCCATCTTCTCCCCACCCACTCCAAGTGCCGTTGAGGCCCTCACCATATCCTTGGAAGACTGGTTCAACAATGGCGATTTTCCCCCGGCCAGAGAAGGCCTCCGCTTGGTCCACCAGGGCCTCCCGTATGGCCTCTACACCACACAGCATGACCACTGGTCTAGATCCCAGGTATACTGTGAAGACATCCCCGTATTTCTCTCGGAGCTGCCAAACACACCCCACACATGGTTGTGGTTAGTGAGTATAAACCTCAGAGGTGAGACTACTGAAACACCTGTATGTCACTTTAGCCATTAGCTGCCTCCGCAAGACCCTCCTCCCCAGGCTGCCTCTACTCCTTCCCAGATTCCAGCAGCTAAAGAGTTAACCCAGGCCGGCAGGTGGTGTGGAAGTTAAAGTGGCTGGATTTCATATGGCTAACCTAGCAGTTCAAGTCCCAGATCCAGTAACTTGAGAAATACACTGGGCACACATGCAAGCCCAAAATCCCAAAAGGAGAATGGAGAAGGGATTCCAGTGTGGTCATCCCTCCTGGGGGGTACTTTCTCACTTTTCCTTTCTCACTCTGTCTTCCTTTGATGAGAGCACGTGGAACCGTGATTCGTCATGTGGGAGTCCAGCACCTTAACCACTAGTCCACCTCCCAGCCACCATAGACACCGTGTTACTAAAATCCTACAATGGAATATTACTCAGCAATGAAGAGGAACAAACTACATCTACACCTGGTAACATAGAGGAAATTTGAAGACATAATGGCACGTGGAAGTGACGAGACACAAAAGAGTCTGTGCATAATTCTTTTTTTTTTTTTTAACTAAAAGGTGTGTCCACTTGCCACAGATAGAGAAGAGGGAGAGGAAAGGCCACACAGTAACTTCTTCTCCTCCATTTCTCCCTTCTTTCAGGATTTTGGGCACCACATACATTCTCTGTGTGTTTCTCAAATCACTGGGTCTGGGACTTGAAATGTGTGGTTGGCCATACGGGATCTGGCTGCCAGAACCACCAGGCCATGGAGCCAGTCTCGTCATTATTCTAATTATATGAAGTTCAAACACAGATAAAACCAGCCTATTGTGTCAGGATGGTGGGAGGGTATTGACTAGAAGGGGACAAAAGGGGTTTCTGGAGATGATTGTTACCTGATCTGCATGTTCAATTTGTGAAAATTTATTGAGCTGAGCACTTTTTAGGGTGATGTTCAACATGAATAAAATTATTAAACACAAAAATTATTAAACTGGGCTAGCAGATGACATAGTTTGCATCACTGGACTCCAACATGGCCCACCGTGATTCAAGTCCTGGGCCCGATGACTTGAAACTCACACCAGCCACGTGTGTGTGTGTGTGTGTGTGTGTGTGTGTGTCCAAGATCCCAGGAGGAGAATGGAGAAGGGATTGCAGCATAGCCATCCTCTCTTGGGGGTGATTTCTCACTTTCCTTCTCACTGTCTCTGTCTCTCACTTTCTCTCCTTAGTGTCTTCCATCTGCAGCTTTCACTGTTCCTGCTCAGAAGCAAAGCAAGACAGAGTCTTCCTCTGACTGGTCCACCTATAGCAACTCTCACCACTTTTGAAAATATCACCCAGGTGCCAGCAGGTGGTGTGGTGGTTGAGGTGCTGGACTCCCACATGGCCGACCGTGGTTCTAATCTCAGACCTGATGGCTTGCTTTCTCACTCTCTCTCTGTCTCTGGTGAGCATCTATGTCCTACAGCAAATTTAAAAATAATAATAATAAATAAAATAATTGTTTTTAAATTTAAAAATACATGTCACCCACTGTATTTTTATTTATTTACTTTTAGGTTTTTGCCATAGGGGGTGTGTGTGCTCCCCAGGGAGAGACAGAGGGAAGGAAAATGAGAAATCACCTCTTGGGAGGGATGTCCACACTGCATTCCCCTCTCCTCTAGTCTCTTCTAGGGATTTCGAGCACGCATGTACACATGCCCAACATGATTTTCAAGCCTCTGAGTCCAGGACTCGAACCATGGTCGGCCATGTGGGAGTCCAGTGCCCTAACCACCGTGCCACACACCCACTGTTTTTTTAATCACAGCTTTTGTCTACATAATATTTCTTTTTCTGTTTGTTTTTTATTTACCTGCCTCTCCCAGTGGAAAGTCCCTGAGGATAAGTGACCTTGCATGTCATATCTGAGGTGCCATATGGTCAATGCTTAGAGCATTCTCTGGGACAGAAAAGGTGCCCAGTAAATTATGATTGAATTAGTGAATAAACAAACAAATGGGTGGATCCAAGTAATTATTATTTAATGAGCTCTTATTATATGCCAGTTCTATGCAATATCCCTTCTAATCTTCACAACCACCTCAGGAAGCATGAATTCTTATTGCCACCATCTTATTTTACAGAAGAAGAAATGGAGGCTCTATGTGTAAGACTCAAATCTGGGGCACAAGTCTTCTGACTCCAGAAGACTTGGAGCGTATTGGGTAATGGAAGGGGAGCAGTGCCCCCTCCCAAGCCCTTCTCATCATGCACCCACCCTCTCCCCTACTCCATTATAAAATTGTAACTGAAGCTATCAAGTTGATTTTAAACACTGAATGCTAAAAATTGCTAAAGGCAGGGCTGGCAGGTGGCATGGTGGATAAGACTGTTGGACTACCACATGGCTAACTGCGATTCAAGTCCTGGACCAGGTGGCTTAGTTTCTTACTTTCCTCTCTCTGTTTCTCTGTTTCTTTCTCTGTTTCTGTCTCTGTGTCCCTCTCTGGCCAAATTAAGATAGATAAATAAATAAATAAATAAATAATAAATAAAGTTAAATAAAATAATTCTTAAAAAAAAAAAAAAAAACTAATGAAAGCTACAGTTTATTTTTGCTCTTCAACCCCCAAGCCACTGAACTATGCACTCATAATGGACGATCCTGGATACCCACAGAGTCCTTGGAGAGTCTGTGGAAGAGCTCCAGGGCCATTTGAAACCTGCAAAATATATTTTTACAAAAATTTTCTAGAGGGTCTGTGCACTCTCTGGAAAAAAAGCAAGGGAGAAGGAAACTAAAAAAGAAACCATTGGAGCCGGCAGTGGTGTGGTGGTTAATGTCAATGGATTCCCACGTGACTGACCGTGGTTCGAGTCCTGGACCTGACAGCTTACTTTCTCCCTTTCTCTTTCTCTCTCACTCTCTGTCTCTCTCTGGTCAAATTAAAAAATAATAATGGCAAATGGAATTAAATGAATAAATAATTATTTAAAAAAAGAAGAAGAAGAAGCAACTCCCACCCTTCTGGGAGATGATTGCACCACAATCCCTTCTCCTCCATTTCTTTTCTCAGGATTTCAGGCGTGTGGGTATATGCACTTGGAGTGTTTTTCAAGCCACCTGGTGCAGGACTCAAACTGTGTAGTCGACCATGTGGGATTCAGCCGCCTTAACCACCATGCCATTTGCTGGCCTGGAATCTTCAAAATTGTATGCAAAAGTATGCATGCATATTTGGAGCAGAGGGGATCCACACCTTTAATAAAATTCTCAGAAGATTTAGTGATCCCCGCATTGCTAGGCGGTTTTAGTGTAGGAGGGGTTTGGAAACAACGAAACCTCCACGCTGTCTCTCACTGACTGTGCTTCTGCAGAGGAGTGGCTTCCCCATGCTGAGCCTCACATTCTGATCTCTAAGATGTGGGCCACCTCACCTCACCCCTAGAGTGGTGGTAAATGAGGCTTGATGAGTTCCCATGACCACACAGATAAATCTTGGTGACAGAATTCTATAAAAAAAAAAAATAAGCAAGATGGGCCAGCAGGTGGCGTGGTGGTTAAGAGCACTAAACTCCCACATGGCTGACTGTGGTTCAGGTCCCAGACCTGGCAGCTTGCTTTCTCATTTTCCATCTCTCTCTCTCTCTCCCACCTCCCCCCCACCCTTGGCCAAATTAAAATAAATTAATTAAATTAAATTAAATCATTCTTTAAAAAAAAAAAACTAAACAAGAGTGTTATGTTACAGCAGAGTACCCACAGGATATACGGAAAACAACAAAGCCTCAATAATATGCACTTGGCAAGCCAGACAGTGGTGTGGTGGTAAAACATGACACTGTGAGTGGGAAGGTTCCAGATTTGTGTCCAGAGATCTCCCTGAGAACCCCAAGCACATGTGTGCCCATGATCAGCAGTTGGCAACTTAAAGAAACTCTTGCTGGACCCTTAAATGAGCTTAAAACTCCTGTCTCGTCACTCACGTTCAGTACCACCTGGGTAAGCACTTAATTGTTATCTCATTAATTGTTGTGTGTTTATTCTTTCTCTCCTACCAGATTGTCAAAAGTCGGAGCCACAGTTTGTTTCCCTGAATGTGCCACTTGCTTAATGTACTATGGAAAGGACCAGCAGGTGGTGTGGTGAAGTTGCTGGATCCCACATGGCTGACTGCAGTTCAAGTACCAGACTCAATGGCTTGAAAATCTCATTAGGTAGGTGTATGTGCACACCCAATATTCTTTTTTTTTTTTTTGAGAGGTTTTTGCTATAGGGCGCATGTGCTCGCCAGACAGACAGACAGAGACAGAGAGACAGAAAGTGAGAAATCACCCCCCAGGGGGAATGGCCATGCCGCAATCCCTTCTCCTCCATTCTCCTCTTGGGATCTTGGGCATGCACGCACACGCACCCGGCGTGAGTTTTAAGCCACCAGGTCCGGGACGTGAACCACAGTCGACTACGTGGGAGTCCAGCGACATAGCCATTACGCTAACTGCTGGTTCCCCACACCCAATATTCTGAGAGCAGAATGGAAGAGAAGAAATTGTGGTGTGGCCATCCCTCCAAGGGGATGATTTCTTACTTTCTTCTCTGTCTCTCTCCAGCGAGTGCACACACCCTACAACAAAAACCTAAAAAACAAAACAAACAAACAAAATTTACTACATCACCCCATAAGTTCTTCCAACAGACATTTACAGTTTCTGGTTTTAATTTGTCTAATGCCATGTTGATGAATGTTATTGCATTAGCAACAGAGAATGATTTCTATCACTGTGTTACGTTCCGGTTAGGGTCTGCATCAACTGCAGATTTAAGCCATACCACTCTGGTTGGTATGGCTTTGACAAATGATGCCCTGATAAAGGGGGTGAAGCAAATCAAGTTGTATTTAGAGATTAAAATATCATATCGACAGGGCCAGCAGTCAGTGTGGTGGTTAAGGTGTTGGATCTCCTATGACTGACTTTGTGGTTCACGTCCTGGACCCAGCAGTTTGAAAAATCACACTGGGTATGTATGTGTGCGTGCCTAAAATCCTCAGAGGAGACTGGAGGAGAAAGGATTGTGGTGTGACCTTAACCCCTGGGGGATGACTTCTCACTTTATCCCTCTCTGTTGAGCACACATGCCCTATTTAAAAAAAAAAAAAAAATCTTGACATTTTCATCTTTGTAGCAACTTTTATCCCTCTCTCTCTCTGGCAAGCACACAGACTGTGTTCCCAGAAAACAGGCAGATCATTTTTGTGTTTGAGATTGTGTGATTTTTTTTCTCTCTGTACACTACACCTGGCCTTAGCTATCATAATGCGCTACAGTGTAGCCATTTAGTGTCAGAGTTTGCCTGTTTTTCCATGTCTTCTGTCTGGATGCCTCCTTAACACTTTCTTTCTCCAGAAGAAGCCAGTTTTTTGTCACAATAGGTGATGTGCTTTCTCCTTAATCAACTTCTTCAACTCTGCTGGAAATGTGGTAGCTGCTGCTTCATCATTAGATGTGGCCTCTCCGTCATTTCTATTTTTCATTCCAAACATACTTCTGAATCTGTGAACCATTCCTTGGTTGCAGTAAGTGACTTTGGTGTCACTCATTCCAGGGATCCCTAGCGGACGTCTTCCTATAGGCTCAATGCTCTCTGGTGCAATGTGTTGCCACCGATCAGAACACATGTCTGTTCATGTCTTCTACCCCCAAATTAAATGCCTACTCTACCTTAACTAAGCACCTATCACACATAGTTTGAGGTGCAACTGCAAAACCAGGAAAAATGTCTTTACCTTCTTCACAATTTCATAGGTAGAAGGTTTGAGCTTAGCAGCTTTAGCATATGATTTTTTTTTTCTTTCCTTACATTGAAAACTTTCACCTTTCACTTAAGGAAACATATCATGGCTACTTTTGGCATGTGCTCACTGGAGAGGCAGAGAGAGACAGAAAGCAAGAAATTACCCCTCACCCCGGAGGGGGTGATGGCCATACTGCAATCCCTTCTCTTCTATTCTCCTTTCGGGATCTTGGGAATGCATGCACACACACCTGGTGTAGGTTTCAAGCTGCTGGGTCCAAACTTGAACTGTAGTCGACTACATGGGAGTCCAGCGATGTAATAATTACTACACCTGTTGGTCCCGTACAGATGATTTTGAATGCTGCCCAGCAACCATCTCAACCATGCAGCATCTCATCTATTTGTGAAATGCCTCAGCTCTTTCCATATTACTTCTCTGGCAAGCTAAACGTTCCATAATATGAGAATCTGTGACCCAGTTACCTGGCATCTCTTAGGTAAAGTGAATAGTGTCTGATTATAACCAAAGCCCACGTATTTGACTAAGTATAACAAATAAATATGAAAGGTCTTCAAAGAGTCCATAAAAGTATATGAAAAGCTTTCTAAAAAACTATAGATTTCCATTTTTCTGCACCCCAATAGACTCATACTTTAATTCCACTTTCCCATGAACTTTAAACCTTGTGTGTGTTGTAAAATATAAATACAATCATAAATACAATAAATATAATCATTCATCATTTGTACATACATGTATACTCTCTAAGCAAATCATTTTAGGTTCATAGCAGCATTGAGATATGTACTTTGTACTTTTAAATATGTTCTTTGTTCTGTTTTGGTTTTTTGTATTTTTCTTTTAGAGGTTTTTGCTATAGGGCGCGTGCACTCGCCAGAAAGACAGAGACAGAGAGAAAGAAAGCAAGAAATCATCCCCAGGGGGGATGGCAAGCCGCAATCCCTTCTCCTCCATTCTCCTCTCAGGATCATGGGCACGCATGCACACATGCCCGGCATGAGTTTAAGCCACCAGGTCTGGGACTCAAACCGCTGTCAACTACATGGGAATCCAGCGACATAGCCATTATGCTTACTGCTGGTTCCTAAATATGTTCTTTGTTAAAAGGCAAGGAAAAGAAAAAAGACAATTAGATTGAGGCCAGAAGAGGGTGTGGTGGTGAAGACTCCCACATGATTCACCATGGTTCAAGCCTTGGGCCGAGTAGCTTAAAAATCATGCCAGGCACATGTGCATGCATGCCCAAAACCCCAGGAGGAGAATGAAGGAGAAGGGATTATGGTGTGGCCATCTCCCCTAAGGAATGGTTTCTCACTTTTCCTCTCATCGTTGCTCTCTCTCTCTCTGTCTGTCTGTCTCTTTCTTTTTTTTGACAGCATACATGCCTTACAGCAAAAAAAAAAAAAGGACAATGATATCAATAAATAGACTATTGATCATAAAAAGAGAAAACCAACTCTATTTAAATCAAAGGGATAAGATACCCAAAGATTCAGCAGTGTTGTTGCCATGAAGGAGAGGGAGCAGAGGAGCTGGAAGTTACTGTTCATGTTCCAGTCCTTCCACTAGATAATGTGTTTATGGGGCTAGATTAATTCTTAATAAGTAACTAGATAAGTAAACATGAAATCTTGCATAAAGAGCATTGATGCAGAGTCTAGTAAATACTGTGCAAGTGCCAGCTGTTATTCCAGTGACTTATGTTTTACTGATAACCCCTCTCTGCCAAGTCGCCCTTTCCTGCTCCCCTCCCTCCTCCACTGTCCTGGCACTCACGTGGGCCGATCTTTGCTCTCTTTTTGGCAGAAACAGAATCTATTTGACTGGTGTCACTGCCCCTTTCTCTCTCTCTTCCAGTGGCAGGTAGGCACCCAACAACAACAGAAGGTAACAAAAGAGGATGAAATTCTACACTCACAGCACACACCCCAACACCTCTTCCTACCCACTGCCCTCTCCAACGTCAGGGCACCATGCAATTCTAATAGAGCAAGGAAGCCTCTGACCATCTGACCACCATCCACCATGCTTCAGCTCCCTGCACCTTACTGGAAACCTTCCCCGCTCTACCCCTGAGCCCGGAAGGATGCCTTGCTCTTTCTGTTGAGCGATCCTTAAGTACTGAGGCAAGGATCGGCCACCCTTGGACCCAGTTAGTCTGTGTCTCACCTTCAGGAAGGATGCAAGTAGGCCTTTCCTGTCCATCTGCAGAAGGTTCCCCAAGATGGGCAGAGGATGGGGGCCTGGTGGGAGACGGCCATGGGCCTTGGGGTAGCCTCTGAACAGAAGAACCAAGAAGCCTGTGAGGAGAGCCAAGAAGAGGAGGACACTGAGCTCCATGGTCTTCTTCTGACCACCTTCCACTTTCTGAAGTCTGGAGCTGGGCCTTTTATCCTGAACCTTCCTCCCTATCCAGTTATGCAACTTCATCCATTCCCCGCCTCCCTCTCATCATTGTCCAGGAGTGTGAACTCTGAAGAGGTATTAGAGGACCCATACTTCCTGTTTGGGCAGCCCTGCCTCCTTCTTACTCCCTGTCCCTTTACCCCTCCCTAGATGTTGGCAGGGATACTTTGGTAGAGATACCAAAGTGCATGTGATATATATGTGTGCGTGTACATATGCATGTGTGTGCATTTATTTTTGTGGGTGCGAGTGAGCATGCACTTATCTATTTTACCTGTTTGCTTGTTTATGCTTGCATGTGTCAATGCCTGCTTCCATCCGTGTGTGATTTTTATATGTGATGGGATTTTTGTATGCAAATGTGCTAGCGTGTGTTTCTGTGTATGAGTCTGGGTAGGATTATGTTTATCTTCTTGAAGGTGCGAGGGTTTCTATGTATTTATGTGGGTTCATATGTGAAAGGATGTTTGCATTTGTGTGGTGGAGGCCGTGATGATGTACGTTCCTGTGCATGCATCTGTGACTGGTTGTTTGTGACCGTGTGTCTGTATACCTTCTAATCCCTGTCTTCGCAAAGCCTGCGGATACTCTGTCTACCTCTCCAATAGCCTCTTCTTCATTTTCCCTTCTGTGACTACCCTAGGTGGAAGTTCTGAGAGAAACAGGAGGATCAACAGATGGATAGACCCAGAGGTAGATAAAGTCAGGTGGAGGGAGATCGACTGAAGGCTGGCAAGTGGAGCAGGCAGCTTCTCTTGACTTCTGTCTGCTCTGACTAGTGCCAGGAGGTTCCCTTCATGCATCTGGCTATCTTCACAGTGCAGAAAATGTCTCTGACTCTCTCCTGCTATCTCTCTCTGACTCAGTATCTCTGTTGCCCCTTTAGACTGTGAGCTCCAGGAGGACAGAGACCAGGTCTAGTTTGATGACTCCAGTCTGTCTTCATTATCCCTGTGATCCTTCCCCTCCCTACACCTGGCAGGAGTCAGTCCATCTGCCTGTCCCTACCTGGCTCTTTCTTTCTCTCTCATTTAAAACAAGGCAACAGCATCTTGTTCCCAAAGCTAAACAAACCATTTGTTACCCTTGAAGATCCTGACCCAGAGTGGGGTGACTGAGTCACCCTCATACACACACACGCACACACACACACAGTAGTGAGGCCAGGGCAAAACTTTATCTAAATCTGAAAGTCAACGTTGCCAGGCCCAGCCTTAATCCTATGACCCAAAAGGAGGTGGCCAACAAAGTGCAACCTGCACTTTCCTAACCTTGGAGAGATGCCACCATGGGCTTTCCTGATCCCAGGACCTGGTTCCTGCTGTGTTGGGTGGTATCTGCCCTCCCATGTCATTGCAGCATTATTCACCATAACCATGTTATGAAATCAACCTAAATGTCTGTGAATAGATAAAGAAAATGTGGCATATATACACAACAGAATGCTATTCAGCCTTTAAAATTTAAAAAAAAAAAATTAAAAAGGAAATTCACTTGGAACAACATGAATGAACCTAGAGGACGTTTTGTTCATCAAAATAAGCCAGGCACAGAAAGACAAGTATCGCGTGATCTTACTTATATATGAAATTTGACATAGGAGTGGAGTAGGGGCCAACAGCTGACATAGAGGTTAAGGCAGCTGGATCCCACCTGGCTGATTCTTCAGTTTGAGTCCTGGAAATACATGCCAGTCATGTGTTTTTGGCACATGCCAAAAATCCTGAGAGGAGACTGGAGGAGAAGGGATTGCAACATGATCATCCTCTCCCACCCCACCCCGGGAGTGATTTCTCACTTTCTATATATTTCTGTCTCTGTCTCTGTCTCTCTCTGGTGAATGAACATGCCCTATAGCAAAAATAAATAAAAATAAAAAAGGAGGGGATCAGCAAGTGGCGTAGTGGCTAAGGGGCTAGGCACTTCAGCATAGCCAACCATGGTTCAAGTCCCGGACCTGGTGGCTTGCTTTCTCACTTTCTCTCCCTCTCTATGTCTCTCTCTGGTTAAATTAAAATAAATGAATGAATAAATAAAATTAAATAAATAATTCTTTTTTTTAAAGGAACAGTGTAGAACAGTGTTGCTATGGGTTGATGGGGAGCAGTGGAGTTGGGAAAATGTTAGTCAAAGGGTTCAAAATTCAATTAGAAGGAATAGTTCAAGAGATCTACTATGCACCATAGTGACTATAGTAAAAAACAATATATTGTGCACATGAACATTGCTAAGAGCAGATTTGATGAAATGGGCTGGCAAGTGGCATGGTGGTTAAGGGCACTGGACTCATGTGGCAAACTACAGTTCAAGTCCTGAACCTGGTGGCTTGTTTTCTCACTATCCCTCTCTCCCTCTCTGTCTCTCTCTGGTCAAATTAAAAACAATGCTAATAATAGGGGCCAGCAGGTGGCAGGATGATTAAGGGTGCTAGACTCCCACATGGCCAACCGTAGTTCGAATCCTGGTCTGGTGGCTTGCTTCCTCACTTTTCCTCTCTCCCTCTCTCTCTCTCTCACTCACCTTGTCTCTTTCTGGTCAAATTAAAAATAAATAAATAAAGTTAAATAAAATAATTCTTTTTTTAAAAATTATCTATTTATTTAATTCCATTTGTTGTTATTATTATTTTAATTTGACCAGAGAGAGAGAGAAAGGGTAAGTGAGAAAGCAAGCCAGCAGGTCTGGGACTCGAACTGCAGTCAGCCACGTAGGAGTCCTGGGCCTTAACCACCACACCACCTGCCAGCCCCAATGTGTGTCTCTCTCTCTGTTCAAATTAAAATAAATGAATGAGTAAATAAAAGTAAATAAGTAATTCTTTTTAAAATAATATAAATAAAGTTAAATAAAATAATTCTTTAAAAAAATGAAAAAAGGAGTAGATGTGATGTGTTCTTTCCATAAGAACACAATAAGTACATATGTAATGCATATGTTAATAAGCTCAATTTAGCCACGTATACATGTATACATCAAAACATCATGTTGGGGACCAGCAGTTAGCATAATGGCTATGTCACTGGACTCCCATGCAGCCAACCATGGTTCGAGTCCCGGACCCAGTGGCTTAAACTCATGCTGGGTGCATATGCGTGCGTACCCAAGATCCCAGGAGGAGAATGGAGGAGAAGGAATTGCGGCATGGCCATCTACCCGGGGGGTGATTTCTTGCTTTCTGTCTCTCTGTCTTTCTGGCAAGCTCACCCTTATAGCAAAAACTTCTCCAAAAAAAAAAAAAGGAAAACATCATGTTGTACCCTAGAAATGTATGCAATTTCTATTTGTCAACTTAAAAAAAAAAATGCCCACAAACAAATGAATGGATTGAAAAATTATGGCACATATACTCTGTGGAATACTATTCAGCCATAAAAAACAAGGCCCTGGAATTTGATAGAAAGTGGACAAATATGGAAGATTTATTGCTGA